GTAAATGTAAATATTTGAAAGGAAATAATATGCTATGACTTAAGTTACTTTAAATCAGAAAAGAAAATCTCACTACTCAGAAAAGTGTTATTTAATGAACTTACTTTATATCTTTCAGCTTGGCATCATCTCAATCTATTAGCAAAAATATCTTTTTCAAAATTCTTAGTTGAGATGTCAAAAATCTGATAGGATTCTGTGAGAAAACCTTTCTCTAACTTTGATTGCTTACCAAGACTGCTGTCTCAGTTTAGAGAAGACAGTTTAATCAATTTCTTGTATCTTAAATTAAGTTTATTGACTTTGGTCTTTATATTGTACCCAGAAATCACTAATTTCTTGCCAAATCTAACATTATCCCAAATTTTTTTAATCCCAAGCAAGAATTATCAGGATCTGAATAAATACCATTTTCACAAATAAGATCCTTGGATTTTAATTTCAATTTTTACCCAACATTAGTAGAAGCGGGTTTGTATTTAACCTGAGACTCGCAAAGAATAAATTGATAGTATCTTAGAATATCGCCATTAGATTAAAGCTTTTTCTGAGGTAAATCCCTCATTGGGAACTTCAATGGGTAAATATGTCTTAAACTTTTTGTATTTTTTTGCTTTTTCTTATCTTGTCCGATTATTATCCTTTTTTTAGCTGTTCTACCCATTTTAATGCGAATTTTGAAACAAATTTATGCTAATTTTGAAATAAACAGTTTTTTAAATAGACTTATATCATATTTTACACTTGCATCAAAAATCTATGAAGTTGTTATTCCCTTTTGTATCAAATTTTATCAAGGTTTACCTTTACAGCTTTTATAACCGTTTACATAAGAATCCATTCGTACACAAATTAGAATTCCTTTGTGCACAAATAACTCTATTTGGAAATTTTTTCCTTTCAAAAAATTTATTAATGAAATTATTTGTGAACCAATCCATGGGGAATTATACCAACTAATAATATTGTCCAAAGAGAATTATATCAATCTCTAACAATGTTTAGAGGGAATGATGCCAATCTTCAATGATGTCCTATGGGAATTATTTGGGTACCATTTATTACATCATATTTAAACATATTGAAACAATAGATAGCACTGTTTTTATGTAAATACACATGTGTGTACAAAACCATAAAACTTTTTTATAAAAATTTTTATCAATCACTTCTAGTCATATGAAAATATAAAAAAAGATTTTGGTAGTTACTTAGAACGGGAATCAGTTGGGAGCACATTTAAATTTTTGAAAAAGTGTTTTTTTAGGACACCCTAGTATACATAACATATATAAAGTACTTGAAAAAATATTTTATTAAGAATTAAAGATATTCCTAATTTCATAATTATATTCTTTCTTCAATTATTCTTTCACTTTTCATTAATATAATTGTTTTTTAGTTGATTAAATTTTACTGTTATTATATTATATTGTTTTGTTATACTATTGTTGTTTTATTGTTATATTATTTATAATATAACTTGTTTTAATTATCACATTTTGTTGCCAATATTTTTTAATTTTTAAATAATTTAAATAGAAATTTTCAAAACTTTAAATTTTGATTAACAAATAATAAAAAATATGTTTTAAAAAATTTTTCGACCCAATGAAAACAAGATATACAAGTATTTTCATTTAAAAAAATTTTAAATCTATAACTACATTTAGTTGTTTATATATTTAGCTTTCAAATAATATTAGGGGTTGATCGCAAATTATGTCATGCAAAAAAACAACTTTGTAGACCCTTCTCTCTACCCCACTTTGTAACAAACAAATTATAAAATATTAAACCCCTCCTTCCTCTCTCCCTTTTTTTTCACGCCACACTAAAAAAAATTAATTTTTTATTTATAAAAAAACAAATATTCCTATCTTTAGCTGAATTGTTTTTACGACTTGATATTTTCCCAAACAGGATTTAGTCCTTAAAGCTGGCATGAAAAGTGGAGCCATTCTTCGTTTAACTGGATTAAATGCACTTTTGTGTGCATTTGTGGCAATTATTAAAAAATCCAAAAAAAAAGTTATGAAGTTGTGAATGGCCATTTCTATCATTTTTTGATACCTGGGGTTTTCTTCTGGTCCTCCGTCAGTAAACATTATAACAATTGGCTTTGTAACATTCAAACTTAACATAATATAAAATAAACAAATACCAGTAGTTATTTAATATAACAACTACCGGTATTTATAATAATTATATTATATATAATTTTTTCATTAATTATATAATAATATATAAATTTTAAAAACTCTCTTGTGTGAGAATAGCAGTTGACGAATGTTTTGCTAAACTTATTGAAATATTTAGGACCAGAGTAGCGCACAAACTCTTTTTTACTGAATCCATCTTTATAAATTTTTTGCCTAGCATAGACTGATGGAATAAGTTTATGGCATAGAGAAAGGACAAAATCGTGATCAGGTAATCTTAACTTTGTATTCTATATACATGATTAAGAAAGCTTGTAAAGTAGTTGCTTGGAGATCAATTGATGAATTTAATAAAGGTCTTTTCCAAAGGATGATTGTTATGAAGGTCTTTTTCTGATATGTTTCTTATCATCAATTTGGTAAGAATTTTTTGGTATGAGATGATGATGACTGTTGATCAGCCAATTATGAATCCTTAATTTTGCAAAGCTTCAGCTGCAGCAGCACTGTGAGTGGCAATCTGAATAATTGTTGAAAGTAATTCTGGTTGACTTTCAATAACAGAAAAGTGCCCAGCCTTTTCATGAATTCTTAATTAAGAGGCAATCTCAGGATGACCTTTTAAGGTCTGAGGCAATATTTTTTTCTACCTTTCTCGGGACGCTTTCTGTCATTTACGACTATTTTCAAATGATTTGAATTCTTCCTTGATACTTTATTAACAAATTATCATCTTGCATTTTTTTTAAAGCAATAGCTTGATAAGTTCTAATTCCGTGATTGATAGCTTTTTAATCAAAACACTCTGCTTTGGTTGAAGAGTGTGTTGATCATATGATAATAAAGTACATAAAGCTTGAGATATTTAAAAAGTGTTTGCTAGAAAAACAAGAGCTACTTAACTAGCTGTTCTACCCATTTTTGATGTGAATTTTGAAATAAACAGTTTTTTAACTAGACTTATACTATATTTTACACTTGCATTAAAAATCTATAAAGTCGTTTTTCCCTCTCGTATAAAATTTTATATAAGTTTACTGTTACGGCTTTTATAACCATTTACAGAAGAATCCCTTTGTGCATAAATTGGAATTGCTTCGTGCACAAATAATAAATTTTCTTAATAAAAAAATTTAGTTCCTTTAGGAATTATAGCTTTTTTTTTTTGTTACTTAAAGCCTAATTTGCCATTTATTTTGAAAATCAAGAATATAGAATTATATAGAATTGCAAAAGATGTTGCAATTTTGATCTGGGTTTGCGCCACAGATGGCGAAATCCCAGATCAATATATTTGAATATATATATATATATATATATATATATATATATATATATATATATATATATATATATATATATTCGAAACTCTAATTTACTGCCAACAAGGTTGCAAGCAATCATTATTAAGTTATGAGTTACTTTAAAATAGAGGATAGGTTAAAAAGCTAGGAAACAGTTAACTAAAGACTTAAAAAGTTGTAGGTTGTATAAAAAAGGAAAACATGAAGATGGTTAGTGTTATAAGATTTTTTAATGCGCAAGGAAAAAAACTGGATTATTAAAAGTTTTTATAGCATGAAGGGACAGATACAGTAAAAGGATGCAAATTGCTGAACAATCCTGAACTGTATTCTGTCAAAAAGCCAAACAAAAACTTGTTTTGGTTTATCGTAACAGAGATGATTTGAACATTAACCATGACACATTTGAACATTAACCATGATTAGAGAAATAGCTTAAAAGAGAAAGGCTAAAGCCTGATGATGGAGATAATGATGATGATGATGATGATGATGATGATGATGATGATGATGATGATGATGATGATGATGATGATGATGATGATGATGATGATGACTATAATGATAATGATAATGATGAACGATAGTAATGATTATGATGATCATGTTGATTACAATGAAGTTTATATATGCATATATATATATATATATATATATATATATATATATATATATATATATATATATATATATATATATATATATATATATATATATATATATATATATATGTATATATATATATATATATATATATATATATATATATATATATATATATATATATATATATATATATATATATATATATATATATATATGTATATATATGTATATATATATATACATATATATATATATATATATATATATAATATATATATATATATATATATATATATATATATATATATATATGTATATATATATATATATAGCTTTATTTATTCCTTTTCTTGTTTTAAAATATTTATTTATTCTTCTTCTTAACAAAGTTAAAGAATGATATGTTCTTTTTTTCCTTATTTTTTTGTTTCGCTTTTCAATTTTATCAATTTCTTTTTTTTTTTTACTTTCTAGGGTTACTAATTATCTGCTTATTTATACATTACTTTTTCATTTTCTTCTTCACTTTTTAGTTTATTAATAAAAAAAAAAAAAAAAAAAAAGCTAAAACTTTGTAAATAATTGCCCTCAGCAATGCCACTGGATTGATAATACAGTTGTATATTCATGCTTTATATTCTTTTATATTCAAGTTGTATATTCAAGCTTAATTTTAGTGCTTTAAAAACTTGAAGAACTTGATTAAACCAACCATGATGTCACAAATTATTCAATTTCTTCTCCCCTTCTCTCCTATGTCACAGATTATCACAAATTCCATGACCCCCTTCCTCCCCCTAAAAACGTGATATAATTTGCAAATGACCCCTTAATTAATTTAATTTGTAAATTATAAAAATTTAAATTATAATGAACTGTGATAATATATATTTAAAAAAAAATTTTAAATGTGGAAAAAAAAAATTACTTTCTGAGCAACCATAAACTTCAACCTGAACACAAAATGGCTTTTTTTCATCCAATGAACGAAATTCTAATAATTTTACTGTAAAAGAATTTTCCAAGAACCAATATCGTGTAGTATCATTTTTTGGATAGTCAAATGTCTAAATACAAAACAAAAATGAGTAAAAATGTATTCTTTTGTTATAAAAATCAGATTTTCAACGACTTTAAAAAAAGTCTTTATAGCTTTTTGGCTTATTTTTAGATAAACCAATCACAACAATTCATTTGAGCAGCAACTAACAAAATATTTAAAAACAAGTCCATAACATAAAATGTCATGTGGAATAGTTTTGCAAATATAATATATTATGTAAAAATGTAGTAGCGTAAATGTAGATATAACATGTTATGTAGACAACATGTTATAATATGAATATAACATATTATGAGAGCAATAATTAACAGGTGTTCTCTCAAAAATGGAATTACAATAAAACATTTGAAAAAAGTATAAAGTATGTTTTCTTGCCTAAAATTAAATATTATTTAGTTGGACTAATGTACATTTAATATTGTTAATCAATTTGCAGAAGTGTTCTCCGGAGCTGTCGTCTATCCTTTCAAAACTATTTAACAAGTGCTTATCAGAGTCTTGTTTTCCAGCCTGCTGGAAAGCAGCATCTGTTATCCCTATTTTTAAAAATTCTGGAGAGCGATCCGATTCGTGTAACTACCGTCCCATTAGTCTTTTTCCTATCATAAGCAAAGTTTTTGAATCTTTAATTAACAAACACTTAATCTCTCATATCGAATCTCATAACCTACTTTCTGAATATCAATATGGATTTTGAACATCTCGTTCTACGGCTGATTTACTATCAGTAATAACTGATAGGTTTTATCGCGCATTAGTTAAAGGTGGAGAGGTTAAGGCCATCGCTCTTGACATTTCTAAAGCGTTTGATAAAGTTTGACATGCTGGTCTTCTCCATAAGCTTTCTTCTTATGGTGCATCTGGAAACATCTTTAAGATTATTGAATCGTTCCTTTTTTAATCGTAGTATAAAAGTTATCCTCGATGGACAGCACTCTTCTTCTTATTCTGTAACCTCAGGGGTTCCACAAGGTTCAATCCTTGGCCCTATACTCTTTTTAATTTACATTAGCGAACTTCCAGATATTCTCACATCAAAGATGGCATTGTTTGCAGATGATACTACCATTTATTCTAGTCACGATAAGAAGCCAATTCCCTCTGATTGCTTGCAGAAGGCATCTGAGCTTGAAAAAGATCTCACTTCTGCTACAGCATGGGGCTCACAGTGGCTGGTGAACTTTAATTCAGATAAAACTCAATTTTTTTTCAGCCAATCGTTATCGCAATAATTTACACCTTCCTATATTTATGAACGGTAATGTACTCAATGAGTCTCCTACCCTTCATCTTCTAGGATTAACTCTTACTTCTGACCTTTCTTAGAAACCATATATCAAATCCATTGCAAAATTAGCATCTGCTAAAGTTGCCTGCTTTATCGAGCCCGACACTTTCTTACTCTGGATTCTATTCTATATCTCTACAAATCTCAAATCTGGCCTTGTATGAAATACTGTTGCCATATCTAAGGCGGATCTTCTAATGATGCCCTTTCTCTTTTAGACAAGGTGCAATAACGCATTGTAAAGATAGTTGGACCTGCTCTTGCAGCCAACCTTCAACCTCTGTCACATCGTCGTAATGTTGCTTCTCTTTCTCTCTTCTACAAATACTATAATGGGCACTGCTCAAAAGAGCTAGCGTCTCTTGTGCCATCTACTAAAATTCATTCTTGTGTTACTCGTCATTCAATTAAGTCTCATCTTTTTTCTGTTACTGTTCCTAAGTGCTCAAAAACTCTTACTTGTCTAGTTTTTTTCCTCAAACATCAGTTCTTTGGAATTTGCTTCCTTCATCCTGCTTTCCTGATTCATATAATTTGCAATCTTTTAAATCGTCTGTCAATCGTTATCTTGCTCTACGATCTTCATCTTTTCTCTTCCAGTAACTTCCAACACTAATTAGTGATTGCTTGCAGCCTTGTTGGAAGCGAAGATGTTTAAAAAAAAAATTCTTTTTTGGTAATTCTTTAAAATGAACTGCATTCAATTTTCTTTTAGAAAGCCTGCTTTCACGAGCTCCCAAACTGCTGTATTACCTCTGAAGTGATCTTTTTTAACAAAACTTGTTTCTTACAATAAATTTGTAAACAAATTTACCTTTCTAATTACTATTGTAGACTAAATCTTTCAAAGAACTCCAAAAATCATCGACTGGCCTTATCTCAGGACATTAGGAAGGATTATCTTTCTTAAAAATATAATTGATACTTTTCACTGTTCAATAAAGTAAAGACATTTTTGCATAATGAGCCAAAGCTAAGTCTGGCCAAAAAACGTAATCAACATCAGAATATTGTTCAATAGAATCAAAATATTTTCAATGCAATCTTTTTTGTACATATTTTTGTTAACTAGAATGACAATTTTGATAACCAGTAATCTATTTTGATATATACTTATTATATATATATAGAAAACTATTAAGACTATGCAAGTGGAACATCTTCACATTTTGCCAAAAAATTCTTAAAAGAAATATATATTTAACAAAAAAGTAAAAAAGTCAAAAGTTATTTTTTTCCCTTTGAGTCTGCTTTTTCCTTGACATCAACATGAAAAAATTGTTAAAGTACATTAATTACTACTCAGCGTACTAAAGTTACAACTATCTGGCCAACGATTGAAGATGATACTTATATCTAATGAGTAAATCCCATATTTCTTTCAAAAGTACTAAGCTACTAAGCTGTTAATTACCTTTTTATTTGACAAATATAGTGATTATAAGTAAATAAAGAACAAAGAAGATTTATTTTTTGTAATAGTCTGTGCATTTTTTAAACAAGAGGTTTTCTATTGATCAAGTATTTTCTTACAATCTATTTTAAGAGATCAATCAAATGCAACATCAAGAGATTGCAATAAATGGGTAGAGTTACCAATTATAGAACAAGATTCTATAACTGGTAATATACTTGCTATATTACCAGTTATAGAATTATAATTGCAGTTATAATTGCTAGATTACAGGTCTAGTTTTACTTTTGGGACTAATTGCAAGCCATACCAATACTTTGCTTTTAAACTTATCTTTTCTTTTGCACTTTTGGTCTAGAGAAGCATTCTTGGGGTCACTGGAGTAATAATCCATCATTCCCAATAACTGTGGAGTTTGAAAAATAAAATAAGATTCCTCATCAAAAATAAATTTTTTGTTAAAAAACTTTTTATATAAGCATTTGCAAATAGGGCTCTTTGTTGCTCAGTCCATTGTGCTATTGATTCTTGGCAACGATATTTGATTTTTGTCTTAATTTTTAACAACAGTGTGTAATTGGAATTTTAAATGGTTGAACAAAAATTTCTAATGCATGCTTTGGGATTAATGTTAAAATAAGCAGTGAGCTGGTTGACTTGACTTTTTGTCAATTTTGTGCATTTTTTTTTATATATTTTTATTTTATGTACTTACTCTACTTTCATATCTTCACGTTAAACAATATATAGTTGTTTCCGGAACATTTTCTGCTTTAAAACGATTATAAGAAAACAGTTTTCCTCATTTTTAATTTTGTAAAATTTACAAATTTGTACTTGTGCACACATTTTCTTAAATGTACTTTTTTTTAACCCATTTTTGTTAAGTAAAGAAAAATGATTTTTGATTAATACATTTTTATTAAAAGTTACAGTCTAGTTAATATAAACATTATTTCAAATGTTATTACTTTAACATTTGCACATAAAGCATTGTATTTTGTGAAGATCCATTTTTAAGGGAACACCTGTTATATGGATGTAATATATTTTACATAGACATTACATAGACAATTTATTCATAACAAGTTACTTAAACAATTTATTGCTATCTCTTAGTATGAACTTGAAGCTAATAAGAATTACTTGAAACTTCTAAATGGATATATTCGAGTAAAAGCTAGTAAAAGCTTTTTAAAACTTTTAGTGAGAGATAAACTATGAAGATGAATTCCACATTTTGAAACACGTTATTCTTTTTTTAATTAAAAAATTGAACAGTTTGGGAAAGTTTTTTCAGATTCAGATTTGTCTTTTTTCAGTAAGAGCTGTTTAAAGCAAAGAATTTCTTCCATTACTTCTTTAAGGTCAAATCTCTTTTATAAAATTTGTACAAACATTTCATTTTAATAATACCTGTATGAACATATACTTTCGAGATACCTAAGTTTTTCAATGCAAAATATTACATGAACTTTTATGCTTCTGTCATTCTTTTTATCAAAACTGATATAATTTAATAAAATACATTTTTTTTTAATTATTCGGAGTAGTTTTTTTTTTGGTTCATAACTAGATCTAGTTATGTCTATAGATTATAGATCTAGCTGTATAAACCTAATGACTGAATGATCCATTAATATCTCTAGTAACCATCTGATGTACATTTTTGTAAGGAGTACTTTTTTTCTTTAATTTATAACTTAAATAAAAATTTTTATTAAATTTGTACTTTTAGGAAATAATTAAGACAGTGCAAATTTAGCAAAACTTTAAGAAAATTATTAGAATAGCACAAATTTTTAATAAACCAAACAAAAGAATCCAAATATGACAACTATTGTGGAACGGAGGGAGTACTTTTTATTATACAACCACCTGGGTGCACACCAAAGTATAACTGTATTTTCATAGATCAATAACTTTTTTTTTGCTAATTTCCTTTAGACTGATGATACTTGAGCGAATTTAATTTTTTCCTTCTGTCATTTTCTGAAAATCACTGTAATGGTCACATGGTTTTTATAGTGGTTCATTTTAGACTGGCATTTAATGCTACTGCAAAATGTAACATTAAACAACAAGTCAACTTTTTTTATGTATTTGTTTGCTTACTAGACACAAAGAGAGTTAAAAAAATTTGGTTTTATTTAATAGATAGACTAAACTACTGTACATGCTCAAAAGAACATTGCTAGAGGGCAGTAAAATAATTTTTTGAAATATTAAATTTTTCTTCATCTATTACATGCTATTTTTTTGTTCCCCTAGGCAAGTGTCTAGTGTCAATACGTAAATCCAGACCTGTGCTAAATAGATGCGCTTATTAAAAAACTTGTCATTTTTATTAATCATATTAGGACATAAAAAGTTTTACAATAAATTTACATAACATTTTCAATAAAAAAGTTATTAACAGAAAAAACTCAAAGATAACTTTATTAATTTAAAATAATTAAATATTCTTATTAACTAAAAGGTTATTAAATATTATGTATATTAAAAAGTTATTAACAGGTTAAATTATGTATATTAAAAGTTATTATGATTTAATTATTAAAGTTATAAAAATTTATAATGATAAATTGTGGTTATAGCTCTTGCACAACTTTTTAATTCTAAAACATGAACTTTGAGTGCAAAGAAACATATTAAATGAGCCATTACTAGGGATATGGTGGGGATCAAACTTAGAACATCTTGCTTATGAATTAGGTACTCTAACACTACACCATTACCTCATTTAGTAGTAATGTTTGACTGATGGTGATACCAAAAAGTTGATATGAGAAAATAATTTGACAACTAGATCTATGACTTTCAGTGTTTGGCTAGATGACGTTATCTACATAATGAAGTTCAAAAACTTATTTAAAATTTTTCAAAATAATCAATGAGTAAGAAAATGACTGATATGTTATAAATTTGACATAACTACTAAAAAACTATGTAGAGTTAAAAGAGTAAAAGGAGTGATACAAGAAACAAAAGTTTTCTTATAAAAACATTTTTAATGTTTGATATTATTAACTTTCTGAATTGCTGGAAACTGTGCACAATGTGAAACAAAGTTTCACATTGTGCACAGTTTGAAATCTAGGGATTTGTATTTATGACATTCTACAAATACAGTTGTATTTGTAGAATGTCATAAATACAAATCCCTGGATTTTAAGAAACATCTTACTTTCAGCTGCAGCTTTCTTTAAAAAAATTAATCTTAAAAATAATCTTTAATAAAAAAAAATTACCAAAAGCTTTTAAAATAAAAAAAAAATCGAACAATGTTTCCTTTTATAATTATTATTGGCAAAAAAAAAAAAAAAAAATTTTGTTGAACTCACCATTTTCTTACACATTCCATTTTTTTTATTTTTATAAATTCTATTACATCCTGTAGTCCTTTTACTTATTTTTGACTGAAATATTGTTGTCATATTTGAGTGTTTTGGTTTTTCTAATTGTTACCCTTCTCTTTAATACATAAATGCATAGCATTGTATATGAATTATTTAAACTTTGTCAAACATGGTAAATCATAATTAAGGATGCAAGCAAAAAAACTTTAAAAAAAAAAAAAGATGTCTGAGTGTAACTTAAAAGAAATAAAAACATTTCAAACATTAAACTTCATATATTATACTTCATACATTATAATTCATAGATTATAACAAAAAACTAAAAAAGCTTTTTTTACTTTTGTGTTATTACTTTCTGTTTTAATCTTCTAATAGCTGAATTATACTATAGATTTTGCATATATTATTTTACATTATATTATATATCTCTTAAATCAATCATTAATTTATAACCAATTGCAGATTTTTTGAATTTTTATTTAAAAAAAGAATATTTAGGACTTAAATGTACATTTAAAAAACTTAATAAAATTCTTAAAAATTTAAATAATTCTCAAACTTGATAACGATTAATGAGTTTAGGACTAAGGAGATAACATATAAACAATTCTGAGATTTGAAAAGTTACTTTGTCTTTTACCATGCAAAATAAACATATGATTATATTAAACAAAGAAAAATTCATTAAAATATTTAAATAAATAAAAAAAATGCGTATAAAATAAAATAATAAAATATAAAATAAAATAATTAAAATAAATTCATATAAAATAATTAAAATAAATTAAATAAAATAACAAATAGTATAATTAAAATAAATTCATATTAAATATTTTTTCACATTGAATAATAAAACTACTATAATTAATTTATTACCCTTAGAATTTGCCCCATAATATTATCAATATAAATATCCTTCATTTGATCTATATCATTTATACCATACTTTATATATATCTTATCAACATCTTTGTTATTGGTTCGAAATAAAAGACCTGTAAATAAAAATTCAAATAACTCAGGGAATGAAATAAAAAATTAAAAAAAAAAAATAGTTAAATTATGAAATTTACATAATTTACAAAACATAATGTATAAAGTATAATGTATAAAATATAATGAATGAAATATATAATGTATAAAATATAATGAATGAAATATATAATGTATAAAACATAATGTATGAAACATAATGTATGAAATATAATTTATGAAATAAAATGCATGTATAAAGTAAATTGTATGAAGTGTAATGTATGTGTTAAGTAAAAGTTTCGAAAGGTTCAATAGAAATGAACCTTTAGTTTAATCTATTTGATGATAATGTGTAGTATAATTTTTGATTTGTTAAAAAATATTACTACTACTTTAAACCAATTCCTAATATTTTAAAACTAAAAATTCGAACTATTTTAATGCAAAAACAATAAAAACTATTAAATTAAAAAAAAATTACAACTTTAAACCAATTCTAAATGTTTCAAAACTGTAAATAGTAATAACATTTTAAAATATCTATATATGCATTCCAACCATAATATCTATTATAGAGCATCTATTATAAAGAAAACATTATTTAAATAAAGATGAGTTCAAACAAAGATGCAAAAAACTATGCAAAACAATATATCAGGCTGTAAGTGCATCATGGTGATGCTGCAATAACTTGTTCTTAAATAATATGTGAAATTTTTCCTAAACTATGATTTATTGTATTCTAAACACAATTTAATAAAAAATAATTAAATACTTTAAAATTTTATATGGTCAAATAAGAAAAATACTTTTTGGAGATAAAACAAAATTCCTATATTTCCGTTTAAAATAGATTTAATTTAAAATATAAACTATAAATATATAAAAAAAGTATATTGCTTTGGCTTGGACATTTTAATAAATATTTCAGTTAAAAAAAGTCTTTCAAGAGTATCATCGGACTTTTTCATTGGTTGTTAGAAGTTTTCTTTTAGCTCATTTATTTTATTCATATTTTTAATGAGATTTTCTGAGGATATAGGTGGATGAGATTTTCTGAGGATAGAGGTGGAGAGGTTAAGGCTATCGCACTTGACATTTCTAAAGCTTTTGATAAAGTTTGGCATGCTGGTCTTCTCCATAAGCTTTCTTCTTATGGTGTAGCTGGTAACGTCTTTAAGATTATTGAGTCCTTTCTTTCCAATCGTAGTATAAAAGTTGTCCTCGATGGACAACACTCTTCTTCACATCCTGTAACTTCAGGGGTTCCTCAAGGTTCAATCCTTGGCCCTATACTCTTTTTAATTTACATTAACGATCTTCCAGATATTCTCACATCTAAGGTGGCATTATTCGCTGACGACACTACCATTTACTCTTGTCATGATAAGAAGCCTACACTCTCTGATTGCTTGGAGGGGGTATCTGAGCTTGAAAAGGATCTCACTTCTGCTACAGCATGGGGCTCACAGTGGCTGGTGAACTTTAATTCAGATAAAACTCAATTTTATTCGGCCAATCGTTATCGTAATAATTTAGATCTTCCTATATTTATGAATGGTAATGTACTAGATGAGTCATCTACCATTCATCTTCTAGGATTAACTCTTACTACTGATCTTTCTTTTAAACCGTATATCAAATCCATTGCAAAATTAGCATCTGCTAAGGTTGCATCTCTTTATCGAGCTCGACACTTTCTTACTCCAGATTCTATTCTCTATCTCTATAAATCTCAAATCCGTCCCTGTATGGAATACTGTTGCCACATCTGGGGCGGATCTTCTAATGATGCTCTTTCTCTTTTAGACAAGGTGCAAAAACGAATTGTAAACATAGTTGGACCTGCTCTGGCAGCCAATCTCCAACCTTTGTCACATCGTCGTAATGTTGCTTCTCTTTCTCTTTTCTACAAATACTATAATGGGCACTGCTCTAAAGAGCTAGCGTCCCTTGTGCCATCTACTAAAATTCATTCTCGTGTTACTCGCCATTCTATTAAGTCTCATCCTTTTTCTGTGACTGTTCCTAAGTGCTTCAAAAACTCTTATTCTTCTAGTTTTTTTCCTCGAACATCAGTTGTTTGTAATTCGCTTCCTTCATCTTGCTTTCCTGATTCATATAATTTGCAATCTTTTAAGTCATCAGTCAATCGTTATCTTGCTCTACAGATTTAGTCTTTTCTCTTCCAGTAACTTCCAACTCTTATAGTGGTTGCTTGCAGCCTTGTTGGAAGTGAAGATGTAAAAAAAAAAAAAAAAAAAATATAATTGGTCAAAGCTTCTTGGACTTGAATGCAACTTGATGTGGTTTTTTTCGGGTTAGCCAAATTAGGCTCCTCCCTCAATTTAAACCATATGTGTGACGAGAAACAGCTGATAAACATTGCTATTCTTTTTAATGACAGTCTTTCTTCAGGGATTCGAAAGTATCATGATAAGACTTAAATTGCTCTGCTGTTCCACCATGCTGAGTGAGAACATGGTAGCTTGGTTGGTAGTTCAAGTTTGGCTAAAATATTGGTATCTAAATAGTGTCTAAAGGTAATGCATTATATATTGTTTAAATAATATGTACTGACAAAACAGGTGTCACAAATAATACAAAATATTTTATGAGCAACATCATACTATAAAAATGTTTCTTTTTTAGAAACTTTCAAGGTACCAAAATATTGGTCCCTCTGACTGAATGGCAATGACCATATTTTCACCTTCTGAACACAATAATCATATGATGCCACAGCTTTGCCATCAAAACTTAAAATTAAAGATGGTTGTAAAGTCAAACCTGTTTTGAGTTTAACCAGAGTTGTAACTAGCAATCTTTCACTAGCTCTAAAAAAAGCAGATTGTTAGGATTGAAAATATCTTCATACAAATAAAATGAGCAACTTGCCATTGCTCCATTGTGGGTGGAATTATCAGCTTCAGTGTATACATGATAGCAATTAGCATTGATTTTGCTACCATGTGCACGGAACTTTTTATTTTTATTTTGAGAAGTTTTATTACTCACTTTTGATTTGAATTTTTGGTTCCAACAATTGCAAAAAATTATCAGAATGATTGCCATTTTGATAGCTTGAACCGGTATATAATTTATTTATATAATTTTATATAATCAAAGCCCATGTTTTTTGCTATTAACTGCCTTTAAACAGGATGCTCAACAACTGTTTGGCTAGTTGATACACAGTACTTTCTATTGTTCTTCTGTCTTCATTTTTTATTTTTGTTGAAAATATTGAACACCATAAAAAAATTCATTGATTTGATAGATAAATGGATTTACTTCAACTTTTTTGAATATAGGTGTTACTTGTATTTAAAAGTGTTGTACTTATAGGTGTTGCTTTTCTCCATTGTTCCACAGTTTTTTAAGACAATAGGATGAATTCCATCAGGACCTGTTGCTTTTGAAGAATCAGGTTTCAGCAATCTGTTTTTGACTATTTCATAGGTGATAAAATCAACTCCTTTATAGCAAGTGGCTGGAGATCAGTTAAAAAAATTAGAAAACGGTCCTTGCGGCTCTTCTTCAAATACAGAATAAAAATAATCATTGAGTGTCATAAATATGTTAAATATGTAAGGCACTCAATGATTGGTCACCGATCCATTACTGCCTTCAAGTAAATGGAATTTATCATGAACTTTGATTTTGCTTTTGGCATAAGAACTGAATCTCTTTGGGTTATGTTTAAACAAAGAAGTTAGTGCGTCTCTGTAGTCGAAATTTGCTTTTTTCACCACTTTTGTGACGGTTTTAGCTGCTTTGTTATATTCTGCTCTAATAAGTTAGTCTAATCCTGGTCCTGCTGACACATATTTATCCTAGAGTTTACTCTTTTTTTTTACAGCTTCCATGACCTCATTAGTAACCCTTGGGCTTTTATTTGGCTGGTATTTGTTTTGTGATACTTGGTATGTAGAGTGAAGTAGCATCATTGTATTTGTCAATTAAAAGTTTGTATTTTTCAGCCTCAGATATTTATTATATATCTCCAAGTCATAACAACTATATAATTTGATATATAAGTGTAGTTTGCCTTGCTCCACACTAATAGAGGAGTTATTTGTGGTTCATTCTTGTTATTGTTGCTGCAATTGAACCTACAATAGTTAGGTGAGCTTGTCCCTCTGGGGTAGACCCCAAAGGCTCAGCTAGAGATAAGAAAACTAATCTGTCTGGCTCATTGGTTATAATTAAATCCAAGATGGACTTTGGTTCTTTAACACTATCTTTTTGCTGTCATTGTTTCTGCACATAAGCTACTTTATTTAGAAATAGATTCTGATCATTTTTAATTTCATTAAATTTGCTGTTGAAGAGTGATGAAAATGATACCAGGTTTTCTTAGTTTGCCAAGAGATATTTGTAAGGTTTTGTTTCCTGCTTCTAAGCTCAAGCATTTCTTTTCTAGCTTTAAAGAGTTGAATTTCGAAAAGTTGGGAAAGTGACAAGTTGCATAAGATGGTTTTGCTCTAAACAAGATTTGAACTGAATGACAGGTAAGCTGTTGATCAGTATGTTGACTGCTGTCAAAACACCTCCAATGATAATACTTTCATAGCTATTGTGCCTAAAATTAAAGTCACCATAAAGTAATAAGGAATCGCAACGGATTATTTTGAGGGCCTATGTAGCAGTCTGAATTGATTTGGTAATTTCTAGGAATGCTAGCTCATTAATATTTGGTAGACAGTAGATACACCCTAAAAGGAGTGATTCTTTTTCGAGCTTGAGCTTTACCCATAGCTACTCAATGGTATTTTTATTAAGTTGTTCAATATTTGTTAGCGTGTTTTTAAGATAATTTTTTACATAGATAGCTACGCCACCTCCTATCTTTCCGACCCTGTTTCGTGAGAAAATATTATACTCTGCAATGGCAGTATCTAAATCCTCTGTAAATAACATCTCAGTAAGGAAAATAAGATGTTGGCGGTTATGCTTGATGGTTGGTTGTATTCTGGCTTTCAGCTCGTCAATTTTTGTTTGATTTAGTGAGCATGGATTATTTACCTAGAAATTGATGTTATTGACAACTTTTACTGAACAGTCTTCTCTAGCAAACACATCTTTGTACTCAGGTGTGATGAGACTGTGATGCCTGGCTTTCGATAAGACCAGGGCATGCGAAGAGTCTTTGATTGTGATCTGCACGAGCTTGGTTATTCTGACTTCTATATTGGATTTTTTATGATTAAAACCTCTGACTTTCACAATGATCAAGGTGTTGATACCAACACCTCTAAAAAAATTCTCGGCTGCCTGTTTACTTTTGTCATATTTGCTCATATACCAATCAAGTGTTACAGTGGTAATATGTCATATAACATGGTGGTAATATGTCATTATAACACTTCATTCTTCTTGCTATCATTGTTTCTGCCCATAAGCTACTTTATTTAGAAATAGATTCTGATCATTTTTAATTTCATTAAATTTGCTGTTGAAGAGTGATGAAAATGATACCAGGTTTTCTTAGTTTGCCAAGAGATATTTGTAAGGTTTTGTTTCCTGCTTCTAAGCTCAAGCATTTCTTTTCTAGCTATAAAGAGTTGCAATGCATGTCTTTATAGCTAGAAATTTTGCAAACATTAGGATGCTTTTATAAATAACTTTTCAAAAAAGTTTGTGTTCTATATAATAAAATAATACTGTTTCAAAAATTTTATTGAACAAAGAATATCTTTAGGGGTTACCAAGGACTCTTGAACATTATATGAGTCAAAAAAATTTAAAAAAAAAAAGTTTTTTAAAAATAATTTTTGTTGGGTCTCAAACAAAACGAAATTATATAAAAATTTAAAAAAATAATCATCATTTTATATAAAATTTTAGAAAAAAAATTGTAATTAAAAAATCTTTTTGAATTTACTTTTTTTGCTTTTTTGTTATATAATGAAATTTTCTGTTCATTAAAAGCTTAAATAATAATTCATTTTCAAAATGATTCATATTTTTAAAAATTTTATATTATTTTGCTTAAATTAAGACCCAACACAACGTCTTCTTTTTTGTAATATTAGGAACCATGTTAGGGAAAATGTTTGAGGGTCCATGGTCATCCCTAACAATACATTTTTTATTCAAAAAATTATTAAATCCAGTATTGATTTACTGTATAGAACAAATTAGAGGTTGCCAGCATACATTTAAAAAAAAAAATTTAAAACCACCCTATTATACATGTTAAGCATCACACTAATGTGCATATGAGTGTATAGGTGAAATGTAGAAGTGTGTGCTGTTCGTGTTGTTTGAGAGAATCTTGTACAGTTTGTGACCAAGGTAAAAGATTTATCTCTGGATATACGCTAAGCCAGCCCAGTCATACTCCAGAAAACCATAATGGATTTAACACCTGTGCATAGATTTATAACTGACTTATGATTCTGAAAACTAGCCTAGGCGTACTCAAAAGACAAACATCTTCTTCTACAGTGACAGTAATAGTGTTTGAGAAATAGTTGTGCTAAATAACCTTAAAATTAACACATATAGGCTAGACCTAATATTATTTGACATATCAATTTGCTTATTAATATTATTTGACATATAAAACTTTGACATATCAATTTGCTTAATGGTCAACACAAGCAGCGAATGTCTAAGGTAATAAATAGAAGTACATAAAAATGGAGGATAATCTAAAAATAACTTTGGTCTTGAAAAAAGGAAACTTTTAATAAATATAACCTGTAATTGTCATTATTCTTCCCAAATCAATTCTTATATAAGGACTTGAATCTATTGAACACCAAAAACCATCCACATCATAAAGTCTTATAGATCTTTTTTTTGAACTAGTTAGTGGAGAACTTGTAATACTATCTTCTTTAATAATTCCGGTCTCAAAGCCAACAGGTTGAATACATGCTTCTATAAAAGTAATAATGCAATAAAAAAGAAAAAACACCTTAAGATTTTTATATATAAAAGAATAAAAACTAAGTATTAGTGTCAAACAAAAAATAACAATTAATACAACATTTTCTTAAAATATCAGCACACAAAAACAAAAACACTATATATCAATTAAAAAACAGTCTAACCACCTATTAGAGTTACTGCGTAAACAAAATTTGAAGAATCCAATTCAACTGATAATTTATAAACCTCAAGCTATGAAAAATACACACTCATATATATATATATATATATATATATATATATATATATATATATATATATATATATATATATATATATGCATTTATATATATATATATATATATATTTATATATATATATATATATATATATTTATATATATATATATATATATATATATATATACATATATATATATATATATATATATATATATATATATATATATATATATATATATATATATATATATATATATATATATATATATATATATATATATATATATATATATATATATATATATATATATATATATATATATATATACAGTATCAGACAAAACCAGTGCAACCAAATATATATATATATATTAGATTGACCGGAAAGTAATGTCGTATTTTTACGTCAAATTAAAACAAATAATTTTTTTATAATATTTATTTTTAATCAATGATATAATCACCCTCATTTTCCACAACCTTTTGCCATCTAGCGGGCAAATTTTCTATACCAGATCGAAAAAAATGTATTGGTTTGTCATCAAAATATCTGGAGATGCCATTTTTTAAGCAGTACAAAGTTTGAAACTTTTTGTCACTTAGAAAGTGCTGTAAGGATCGGAACAAATGAAAATCTGAAGGGGCGATATCAGGTGAATATGGAGGGTGGGGCAGCACCTCCCATTTCAATTCATTAATTTTTTCTAGCGTCCGTCGTGCACAGTGCGGCCTTGCATTGTCATGTTGAAGAATGACACCTTTTCTGTTGACGATAGCCGGGTAATTCTCAACTAGAGCTTGGTTCACTCGATCCAATTGTTGACAATAAAGGTCCGCATTAACAGTTTGTCCAGGAATAAGCACTTCAAAGTAGACGATTCCGCGGATGCTACACCAAACACACAGGAGCGCCTTCTTGGGGTGTAATCCCGGCTTTGCAGTACTGCGTGCTGGTTCATTTGGGGAGAGCCACTGCCTTTTGCGTTTTGGATTTAAACTTGGAAAACCATCTTTGGCATTTGCGAACATCTAATGAACCTGGGTAAACATCACTAATGTTCTTAGTCGCAACTGTAGCGTTATTACCCTTGCGAAATTCAAAAAGCATACAATGACGAATATGCACTTCCTGTATTTGGTATGCCATTTCACTCCAATTTGCAAAGAAAACTATTTAATTTTAAATAATTTAGAAGTAAACAAGTCACACTAATATAAAAATAACCTGTGCACGTGTTCGAGATACACAATAAACTGGCCAACGATTATCGAATGTCAACATGCGCAAAAACGACATTACTTTCCGGTCAACCTAATATATATATATATATATATATATATATATATATATATATATATATATATATATATATATATATATTCGGTTATATATATTTCAACCAAATAATGCTAATTTAGTTTCTTTATATAGTGCTGCATTTTTTCAATTTAGAGAAATAACTATGTAACTGTTTAGAGACAACGTTCTTTAAGTTTTATTCATCACAAAGTTCATTATTTGTACACACAAATTAATAAATTAATCAAAAGTATTAAAAAAAGTTGATTTCTATCTGGACAATACAAGTGCAACTCCACAAAATGTTGACCAAGCTGTATTTCTCTATTAATATTTCGTAGCGAATCCTTTGTTGTCGATCACAGCCTTGCATCTTTGAGGCATAGATTCGATCAATGGATCAATGAAACTTTGTGGAATCGCTGCCCAGGCTTTTTGGATTTGTTCAAACAGTTGATCCTTAGTACGAACACCTTCACAAATAATTCTGTGGTTGACGATATCCCACAGGTTCTTGATAGGGTTGAGATCCGGAGGATGAGGCAGCCAATCCATCACTGATAGGTGGTTGTCTTGAAACCACTGCTTGACTACTTTTGCAGTGAGTTGTCTTGCTGAAAAACCCATTTTATTGACATATTCCATTCAGAATGAGGTAACATAACATCTTTCAGGATATTTTTATACATGAAATGGTCCATTATTCCATCGATTCGATGTATTTGACCTAGACTGTTAGCAGAAAAACACCCCCAGACCATTACATTGCCTCTATCATGCTTAACGGTCTTATGGCAGTATCATAAATTGAGGCATTTTCCAGCCGGTTGGCGTACACAGCAAATCTCATCGCTCGCAATGATGTTGAACTTTGATTCATCACTGAACAGGACAGTTCGCCATTTCTGCACATTCCAGTCAATATGAGATGTAGCAAACAGGAGTCTTTTCTTCTGGTTCTTTAATGAAACCAGGGGTTTCTTTGCAGGGCGTCTAGAAAACAATCCGGCTTCAACAGCACATTGTCTGATTGTTTGGTCCAATACAGGCAGCTCTAATTGCTTTTGTATCTCAACTAATGATATCCAGGGATCCTTCCTGATGGATCTGATAATCATAGAATCCTCTCTAGAAGTGGTGGAAAGTCTTCCACCTTTGTTATCTGCTGCCAACTTCACTGTAGAACAATATTTGTAATATAGTCTTGATAAGGTCCATTTTTTCACGCGATATTTATCACAAATACTTTTTTGTGACATTCCACAATTCGCCAATAATTTTCTTTCTTAGTTCCAATCCAAGACTGTCGGTAACCATTTTTGCACTTGAAGTCATAAAAATAATAAAAATAAATAATCACCCTTCTCAAGGCTTACATGTTACATTTACCTTGTAATAATACAATAAGGCTCTATGAAACACAATGTCTTGGTTGGATGTGGACTGTATTGATGTAATGATACACTTGTTGTATTTCACTTTTTGTATTGATGTTCTTCAATAAAACACTTTGATAAAACTCACTTCGATAAACTGTCTTGATAATACTGACTAATTGACTTCTATATACTGACTGAATTACATGTCGGTTTACATGTCTCTTATATAGTTAAATGAACCTGTGTGAACCTGTGAGCATATATAGTTAAATGAACCTGTGTGAATCGGTTTACATGTCTTTTATATATAATTTTTTTTTTCTAGTTTTGTCACCACTATCCTTACCTCTGGCTCAGCTAAATTCCAGCTAATTTGTTGCAGAGTGGAATTAGTTATGATCTATGAAATTGCCCTAATATCCATTTTTGGTGTGCATTCTTATAAAATGTACGCCAAATAACACCATCTTTTGTTTTGCAATCACAATTAAATGTCTAATTTAATGTTTGATCATTGATGAAAATCAAGAAACTGATGAAAATCCATACTTAATTTCAGGAAATTAACAAGTCTAATTTTCAACAAAATGTTCTTCAGTACCTTTACAAAATAAAAACCTATGACAAGTTGTATGTTTTGCGCACGTTTTATTTATCCATTAAATAAAATTTTTTTACATTTCTATGATATGCTTTAATGTTATGTGTAATATTACTTATAAGTTTTAAAACCTTTTCATCTGATAAAATATTTTTTCCTAAAAAATATTTCTTCAGGAGAAAAGAAAAAAAACATTTCAAATAACTAAATATTTAATAAACTGCATCAGTGAACAAAATCAGAAACAAAGAAAATTACCAAGATTTGCATTCTGAAGGGAATTTCAAGTAAATATGCTGAAAAAACAAGGCTGATAAATAGTGCAATTATATGCAAAGGGCCATAGCAACATAAAGCAAACATAAATGCTTCAGTAAGGCATAATAGAATTGAGGTAGGTATGTTATGTAAGATTTTTGTGTTGAATCTTGTCCAACTAGGTATAATAATATTTTTGATCAGACAGGATGTAACACAAAAAAAAATTTTATTAAATCAGATTTTCAAGAAGTTATCATTAATGGTTGATAAAACAAATCTTTAACAATAGTATTTAATGCTGCTTCCTTTAAAGAGAGAGAAAGTAATCTTGATTATTATAAACTAATATAAAATTAACACAAAGAAAAAGTTCTTCAGAGTCCACACGATCGGTTGTGGAGTTTAAAGTTGGTAATCCGTTGTCATTTCTGACTATGAGACTTTTTACACCATATGACGTAAAATGTTTTTAAAATATAAGTCATTTGTTGGTGGTGGCCACTCCTACTTAAGTAAATCACAATTTCTGATTTCATTATTTAAAATTTTATACATATATAACAAATGATTTTTGTAATTTAATGTTTGATTAACTCTTGTTTTAAACATATTTTGTTTATACCAAATATTTATTATCTGGTGAAAACATAATATAAATATCTGGTATAAACATAACATGGTAATTATTTCCCTTTATTTACACAAGCAAACCACAATTTCTTTTTTACAATATATATAATATAAATCTTTACAAAGATTTCACTTTTAGATGTTAAAGGTTTTGTAACGCTATTTTTTTGAACACATCTTATACTTTCTAGCAGCGTGCATAATAATGAAAAAACATTAGTATCATTTTTATATTTAACTACCCTTTGCAAGATCCCAGCATTGTAAGTTAATGTGATGGAATTTAGATTACTATAACTTTAGAAACCTTTACAAAAAATATATAACATTGCAGAAAATGTCTAATATATTTTTTATCACTCAAATAAAATAGTTTAAGGATTTACTTGTATATTCATTTTATAAGAGTTTTGAAAATGTTAATAAAAAAATAATAATTTCTTTATTTACAGCTTTCTTACAGATGATTATATTATCCTTATATTATTTTTTTTGTTTTGAATAAATTTGACAAATAACAATCCTTTACTTTACCTTATTAATTAAATAAGTTAATAACTTAATCAAAAAGTCAATAAGACTCTGCTAAATCTAAATTAGTGTCATATTGTAAATATTTTTACTGATCAACTTTGTTTTTTACAACGCTTTTTAATGTTCTTTCTTTGTAAAGTTTGATAATCCAAAAGATAATAATGCAAAAGATGACACCAAAAGTTGTTCTGTGTCTGTAAAACTGTTATTGAAACAACAAGAAGCTGTTATCAAAGTGGCACCTTATTTTCTTCACTAAGATGACAATATGACAAGATGACAATAACTTTTTGTTGTTAGTATTA